CTTTCTGTTTTCAATGTGTGCAGAGCTTGATCATGCACGTGGAGCCTTCTTGCCTTGCAAGTTTTTTCTTTTTTTTTTTTTCTCTTCATGAAATCCATCAACTTGCTGTTCAACCAAAAAAAAGAGGGAAATCCATCAACTTTTAATACTTTTAAATCCTCGCAATCTACCAATGTGCAAATGAGTCCCGACAAATTGAAAATATTTAGATCTTTAGTTAATTCCAATATTACAAAATTTTAATTAAATTTGTTATAATCAAAATCAAGTTATGATAGCCTGTTACTTAGGACTTGATTACGAGGAGCGAGCTGGCTAGGGAGTTTGATTTGAAAAAAACAAGTAGAAGTGACTTCATTTAACAATACTTTTCATAAACTTTTTTTTTTATATAGCATTTTATCTAAACAAGTAAAGTTATAATTTTTAATATTTTAACTATTTTTATATACTTTTACTAGGGTTAAATGTCAAATTTAATTTCTAAACTTTTAATTTTGAACAATTTTAATTTATAAATTAAGTTTTGCATTTTTTCATCTCTCAACCATAAAAAATACACTTTTTTTGCTCTGTTAGTTTTGTCCATTGAATTTGTACAACTAATTTTTTTTTGGTTCCTAAGCTTTCATTTGATGCACTTTTTTGGTTTTTGAACTAATATTTGTTGCATATTTTTAGTTCTTGAACTTTTATTTTATGCACATTCAAGTCATTAAAGGAAATAGAAAAAAAAAATGATAGCTTAATAGACTTAATAGCAAAACTAACATAAAGATGAAAAAAGTATATTTTTCATAGTTGAGAGATGAAAAAATCGCAAAACACATAATTTAGGGATTAAATTGTTCAAAAATAAAAATTTTGGGACTAAATTAGTATTTAACCATGTTACTAATTAATTAATGTTTTATAAATTTTTAAGATAATAAAAAACAAAAAAAATTTACAATTACAGCACAACACTAACAAGCCTATCGAAAAATATGGATTGATATAATTAAATATTGTTCCGTACGGAAAAGATTTGGATTTTTCCATGGGGATGTAATTAAACAAGCTGGGCAGGTGAAACTTACTTGGGAGAGGTATTCAATCTATTTTTTGAGACCGTCAAGTTGTCTTAGGGTTAATTTTTGTGTAACTTAAAACTGATTTCTCTTCAAATAATTTTAAAGATTCATCCCAACATAAGTTTAATGCATGCAAAAAAAATTAATTCTTTTCAATGCTAATTTTAAAACTCAAATCTAAATAACATTTACTTATTAGTGAATTTAACATTTTACCTAAATAAAACTTATCTAAAAGAGGTTTTTTTCTTCTTAATTTGGATGGTCAAAATTTTTCTACATTTTCTTCTTTTTTTTTGTAATTCAAGATTAATTTCTTTCCTTATGATTTGAAGAACACACCTTTACTTTTGTCTTGTCATGCGCTTTTTTGCAAGGCCTGTAAGAGAGAATACAATCTTCCAGATCATAGAATGCTTAAATGTCACGTCATTTTTTTGGTATCAAGTGTGGATGAATGAAGTCCTTTAAGTGCTGGCTTTTTTCATGTTGCCTTTCGGATTGAGTTACACTAGAGAAGTGTGGTCGGCCACTTTATTTTAGTTCTTGTTATCATGCACATGATATAATTTGGTTGCCTTGAAAATTTAATACTCAACATGGCCATAAAGCTTCTTTTTTTGGTTTTTAAATTCACGGCCATAACGCTTCGGTGGAGAAATTTTTGAATCAATTCAAAGTTAGATGATTTCTTTGGTTGAAAGGTATTGCCACTGGCTTCAGGGAGTGAAGTTGTGCAGAAAATACTGAGTAAGTGGGATGACATCGCTTTACGTTCGGAGTCAAAAGATTAAGGGTAAATTAATGTGTTGTCACTAACTTTTATTATAACTTTCCACTTAGTCACTATTCTTTTATGTTTGAAAATTTAGTAACCTAGCTATCCTTTAAATTACTATATTCAGTCACTCATTGTTAACTCACTGTTGGTAATAATTTTC